GCAATGATCAGCATCCTCATTAGCTCCACCTTTGTGGGGCCAGTGATCATAAGGGATATTTACATAACTCTTTCATATATTCATTTTACTTAATCAGCACAACAACCCTATGAGAGTAGAGACCAGGAATTATTACATTATTAACCATTTTACATTTTTAGGAAGCAGGGATTCAGAATAGGGAAGTGACTTGCCCAAAGTAACCAGGCTGGTCAGCAGCAGACTCAAAGCTGGATCTTCTAATGTCAGATCCCATCTTTCCACCGCATGCCCTACTTCTCCAAGTGAGCTATGTCAAAGGCAGGCTTAGGCATTCTACAAGACGAGAGAATTAGAGGAAAGGAAGGAAAGCGGTGAGGAAATAGAAAGGGACAATGAGAGAGGAAGGAGGTGTTTTATTAGGAAGTGAGTCTAACCACTTTCAATTGCCCCAAATGCCCCTTAAGTGGCAACAGTGCCACAAGTTACCCTTCTCCAAATTAATTCTATGCCCCAGGGTCTACAGCTATTGTTGTTTTATTAGTTGAGAATCATGTTGGAGACTTAAATGTCTAAAACGAAGCTAAAGATTTTTCTCCTCTGAGGTTCTGACAGCCGAACTTAGCCCCTCCCACAAAGGTCCGTGGCCCCTAGATCTCGGTCACATTAAACGCCGTGGGGACCGAAGAAACCGTGAGATGTGGGGAAATGAAGGGAAGAGGGTTTGGGTTGGGGAAAGGGGAAGAGGTTGGGCTAAGGAGAGGGGGAGCCTGCGGTGGAGCTGTGGTTGGGGGATGTGGGCTTTTGTGGCTGAACTCGAAGGTGGGGTAGGAAACCAGGATCAGAGCTGACAGTCAGGGTAGAGTTTAAAGGTTCAGGAGAGCATAGGGGAGCTGAGGAGTTGACAGGACCAGAAAAAGACCTAGGAGGGTGCGAGGCTCGGTGGTCTCCTTGGCGCGTGAACCGAGGCGAGGCCCCTCTCGAATGTTTGTGATTGGATGTTCCCTTAAGTCCTGCCTCCCCGGACCCCTCTCCCCTTAAGCCCCGCCCGTGCCTCCGGGCGCGCGCCTGGGGAGCGGGGAGGGGGACGAAGCTTGCGAAGGGGGGAGGGGGGATAGGAGAGACTCGTGCACGCGCCCCTCTCGCTGCGGGTGCGCGAGTAGCGCGCTCCCGCCGCCCGCGTCGCCATCTTTTCCCCCTCCGTCTGTCTGTCTGCCGTTGGCTTTGTCCGTCTGCAGCGCCGCCCCTCGGCTCCCCGCCGCCAGCTCGGCCCGGAGCTGCCCTCTGCCAGCCAGGGCCCAGTCCAGGAGAGCCCCGGCCCGGCCGGCCCGAGCTGCGGCCCAGGGCCCATTGTCCGGGGGTCCGTCTGTCCGGAGGCGGGGCCCAGGGACCCGGAGCGCCGCGGAGCGCCGAGGCGCCGGGTAAAAAGACCCCCCGACTCTTT